CACCCTGAGGGTGGTGAGGCACTGGCACAGGATGCCCAGGGAGGCTGTAGATGCTCCATCCCTGGAAGGGTTCAAGGCCAGGCTGGATGGAGCCTTGAGCAGCCTGATCTAGTGGGAGATGTCCCTGCCATGGCAGGGGGGCTGGAACTAGGTGATCTTTGAGGTCACTTCCAACCTAAACCATTCTATGTGTGACTTTGGTTCCAGCTAGAGAAGGGTGTTCAAAAGATTGTAGGTTTATTAATGTTTCCTAAGCGTCTAGTGATGTGGATTGCCTTTTGTATTACTTGTATCGATCCTGAATGTACAGTTTACTGATTGCCACTTAATTATAGGTTGTTAATAATTAATAAAACTCTTCAGTCTTGATTTGGCTAAACTCTATGAACCAAACCGCTTTCCCCTGTGAAGGGAGTCAGATGCTTTTAGAGAATCATTTTTCAAAATGTGCTGAGATACTATTCAACGTGAAACAAGAGATGACATTGTACTCCAGTGATTACACGATCAGCAGTTTGAGCCAGGGTATATTTATGTGATTAAATTTTAATTCCCAGGAAGTATGTAGTGATCAAGAAAGGAAGACTGTTAGAACAGACAGTCGCTATAGAGCTGAAGGGCAGATGACTGAAAAAGTAACAAAGCACCTCTTTCCAGCATAACAAACCAGAAGTGTTACTGATTTACTAATCCAATTAAATAATTTATTCCAGATTAATAGCACAGTATTTTGATGGCATGTTAGTACAATATGCAGTTTATCCATCTATTTAACACTGAAATAATTAGTTTTGGTTTATAGCAAACCTCTGCTCTTTAATTGCCTGACAGGAGAAGGACCAGATGCTAGCGAGAAGGTAGATCAAATACATTTCCATAGTAGCAACTGACAGGACTACGCAAAAAAAAAGTGATATTTCTAGGCATTTTTTGCACCACTAAGAAGTTCAGATGATTTTTTTTATATGCATTCAGTCTCTTTCCCCTGACTTTGAAGGAAGCAGCTGCCTACATCAGAAAAATCTCAGCCATAATTGATTGTAGTAATTGGAAAATCAAATCTCTGAGTGTTTATCCATCCTGAATTGAACTGCACATGGAACATTGTGTCATGGACAATCTGTTTGTTTCTGCCTTTATTCATCTCTTGTACCAGTTTTGTATTGTGGACTCCAGTCAGCCTGTTTGTGGTTTCCTGCATTTATTTATATTAAAGAAGCTGAGCATGGTGTGAACATTATTACCAAAGTAGATACACTGTTCCTTTAGGCTGGGAAAGCTGCTCCAAAGTGAGCAAATACCAGGAGAAGGTTGTGATAGACCAACTGGACAGGAGCTGTTTTGAAGATAGCTAGGAATAGGTAGTGAATAGTCCTGGTCTCTGTGATGCAAATCAACACTGGTATCTGCTGCATATACCAAGTGAGTGCATGAGTCTTGCAGGGGAAACAAAAGAAAAACATTCTCTTAAAGTGCTCATAAGCATCATTATTCTATTTACTGTAGGTAATAAATAGGGGGAAATGAAGCAAATATATTTTTTTTTAGTGGTTGCACTAAAACAGACTGGCAGCTCTCTGCTTATGGTCAAATTTGTCCTAACATTGAAATGTGAGGGAATGAAGAATTAGTTCCTACTGAATGGGTGTGTGTCTGTTGTCCTGCGTAAAACAAATCCAGTCTAGTTCTTAAAGCTCGCTGAGAGGAAGCCTCTGGTTTCTTCTGCACGAGTGCTGTGACTTACCATGCAATCTCCGGGAAAGTAATTAATCCTCCTGGGTTGCTTGTTCCTTCATCTACAAAATGGGGATAACAATATACATCTCTCTTGCACAGTTTTGTACTAAACGCTATTTCTACAGTTCTTCAAATCCCAAAGGGAGGGATGTACAAGAACCACTGCAGTCAATGAAGTAATCTCATGCCTGCTCCGATACATCTTATGTGACAGCATTTCTTTGGACACATAGAATATTCTACATTCAGATTTTTAACTAAAAATTTTACTGTTAAATATTGTTTACATTCTACATTATATTCAGATGTAGCTACAAATGAATCTAACATGTATATACTCTAATTATTTCTTCATATTTATAAGCGACATTTGCCAGAGTGTTGGCTTCTATGAACGCTACCCATATAATCTTTCTCCAATTTTCTAAAGACATTGTGACAAGAATAGGAAGTTCCTAAGCATACTGTGCAACCTGCATTCTCTTATAAATGCCCATGCTGTACATGACTGCCAGCAAAGGACTCAGACATGCACAAGCATATGTGAACTTGTGGTGTGGTTATCATTCCATCTCAGTTTAAACGTAAGACAAGGGCTTCCTGTACATTGATGAGTGTTGAAAGTGTTGCCAATGCAGATGGAAGATCATTCTCAAGTGCCGAGGACAATATAAATAATGCACCATATTGCTTAAAAACACCTGCTAGAGAGAAGAATGAAAAGTAGCTATTACACACACACTGGCTAGGTCAAAATGCAACAAAATTTGTGAAGATTCAAGCCAGGTCCCGCGGCACGTTGAGGCTAGTCTGCCTTCTGCTGCCACAGGCTTCTGGCCATAGGACTGGCAGAGACAGTCGCAGCTGGATCATCTCCAGTGGGGTGAGTGTGGCTAGGGAGAAGGTGTAGGCATGAAAGCTTTTTTTTGCCCCTTATGCTTGCTGATCTGAACACGCAGTACCAGCTTTCAGGAGTTACAGTAAGCCCACCCAAAGCTGTTTTCACTACAAAAGGCTTATCGAGTTAATACCATATTTCATGTCATGGATAGCATTTTAAAGTAAAAATCCCACACCTGATAACTGAGATACCGATCAAGGGCCTGAAGCTCGGATTTTCTAGTTTATTCGTGTTCAGTGTTAGCTTATAGCATGGTTTATTGTTATTACCCAGATTGCAAGAGTGATCCACTCGGGAGTCTCAGAATGGGGAGGAGGGAGATTACCTTGTGATTGTAGAGCAGAGAGCTACTAATTATCCTTGTTTGGGTAAAAGGAGTTAAGGCTGACACCCGATAATGATCCAGGCTTTCAGTTTGGGTAGCCGATCCTGAGCGAGCACCACGTTTTAGAGATGCTCAACATTTGACATTTTCTAACTAAAGCCACCACGTGAGCAACCAAGATGGAAGGTGCCTTATGTACATCTAGTGCAGTGCTCACAATGGATTGTGGCTGTGCTTCCTACAAAAATGGTGCTTTTTCCCCTTAAGCTGGGTGCATTGCGAACTGGAGAATTTTACTTGCCCCTAAATTTTTTTTCACACTGACTTCCCAAAGAAGACCCAAGTAGCAAGGCCTGTCTGAGCTTTTTTGAAGGAATATTTGTAGCTTTCTAATCAGCTGTAAATCTCTTAAAGTTGCCATCTGTTACAATCTTCCATCTTAATTCCTTCTGTATACAGTGGAGTAGATCATTATATAAGATACACTGGTGCAAACTTAGAATTGTATGACTGACCTTAGCACGAGGCACTCTTGACTTATATTAGGGTAGCACAGATCAGAATATAATGCAGTGTTGAATCAAATAGAAGAAGAGAGAACTTCGTCTTTCTACAGAGACACAACTAAAAACATACAGCCAAGGGGCCAAATTTGCCATGAAATTGTTAACTTACTGAGCTTTTTCATGCAGTCTCGAAGCCTGGTTTCTAAACTAAGTACACGCTGGTGTAGTTCCTCATAGTCATAAGCACCAATTTCTTCCTGAATCCCAGTGAGGACGGTAGAGAGATTCCTAATTTCCTCCTTAAACTCGGTGATTAATTTGGCATCGGTTTTGTATTGTTCCAGAACCGGGATCAGTGGCAAGAGCTCATCCATCTTTTCTTTCAACTCCTGTTAGAGGCAATCAAACACATGTTAGAGCAGTTTAAAGGAGTTCAATCCCCTAATTCCTTTTAATGTAATATTTATACCTGATGAGTAAAATGACTTGAAAACCATGATTGATTTTAGTTACAGGGCTATTAGTGTACTGTGAGAGCCTTAGAAACCTCAGACTTAATGGTAGGAAGGAGTAGATAAAATCACAGAATGTTGGGGGTTGGAAGGGACCTCTGGAGATCACCCAGTGCAACCCCCTGCCAGAGCAGGGTCACCCAGGGCAGCCACACAGGAACGCGTCCAGGCGGGTTGGAAAGTCTCCAGAGCAGGAGACTCCACACCCTCTCTGGGCAGCCTGGGCCAGGGCTCCAGCACCTGCACAGCCAAGAAATTTTTCCTAATATTTAGATGGAATTTCCTGTGTTTCAGCTTGTGTCTGTTGCCCTATGCACACGTACTGGAAGTAGACAATCCCTTCACGTGATCTGAAACAAATCTAACTCTCCCTCCGGTGGATATAAGTCCTGCTGAGCATGTGCTTCTTGAGGAAAGGTGATTAAGCCTGACCAGTGACATTCAGGGAGGTCATACCTATTGTACGGCACTGGCCCAATTGGTGAGCTGTCCATTTCTATTTCACTCCTTAGAATTCTGAATTCCTTTTTTTCTCCATGGCTGTTGAGCACAGTTTAGTTCTGTTCTGGCCACAGTGATATATTTACCCGTTTCTTCTGGAGTAAAAATTCCATGATTCTGAACTGCACTTTGTATTTGTCATCCTGCTACATCATAGAATCATCGAATGGCATAGGCTGGAAGGGACCTTAGAGATCATCTAATCCAACCTCCCTGTTTTGGGCAGGGACGCCACCTCTCGACTAGACCTGGCAACACATGGGGACCGAGCGGGAATCGAACCCGCGACCTCAGTGTTGGTCCTTGTTGCCAGCACCGCGCTCAAACCACTGAGCTAACCCGCCCCCTAACCACTTTGAACTTCCTCAGTTGACCTTTCTTCTGGACTATCACAAATCATTTCTTCTGCCACGTGCAGTTGCTGTTGTGCTGCCAACCCTAGTCTTAAACAGTGATTACATAAAATAAGGCTCCACTCTGGAATCTTGGACTGACTCTTTTTTGGGCTTTTGTCAAGTCTTGTACTTCGAGAACTCATCTCAATGCGAAACCTATGTTGGCTGCTCATCTTTAATTTCTCAATTAATCTACTAAATGCACTAATCATAGAGGCTTTGTTAAATTTGAGGTTATTTTTTGTTTGCTGGTTACTCTGGAGCAAAACTCAAAGAATTCTTGCAGTCAAAAGGTTTTGCTTTGTTGAGAAGCAGACAAGATTGTCCCTGAAGCACCATCTGTAAATAGGGATTTGTGTATCTTTTTATAATTTAAGGAAATAGAAGGACTTCCATGAGCAAATGCCAGCGAGACATAAGGACAGGCAAGACTGGACAAAAAAAGGCAAAGGATGGAAATAAAATTGTTAGGTACTAGCACTAGGGACTAGCAATAGAGACTGGGAAGAGATGAGGACAGGGAGAGGCTATTGAATGGGTTAAAAAAGAATATCTGGAGTAGTCAGCAGGTTAAAGGGTAAAGCAGAAGAGGACTAAATGGACGCCCAAGCACAAGAAAGAGATGCAGAAGCAAATGTGTAGTCACTGAGGTGTGCAGAGACATGCACATTCAGATTGTTACATCACTTGTATTAAAGGATGCAATAAACAGCGTAGGGCATTTTTAAAATTAAGAACATGATGATGCCAGGTGAATTTTTGCTAAGCACATGTGAAAGAAGGTGACAGGCAAGGTCATCATTTGAGCTGCTTAAAGATCTACCCCTGAATTTTCAACTCTTGAACGTGTTCTATGACAGCTTCAGAGCTCTGCAGCACCTACCTAGCTAACATATCCATAATGGTTTAATAGTTGCCTTCACACTGGATTTATTATTTCCTCAAAATAAAGACTTACATGCGCTGTTAGAGAGTATATTTTGCACATAGGTCATCTTAACAGCTAGAAAATTGCATTTTAAATTATAAGCAGATATGTCATTATAAATGGATTTGAGAGTATTAGGAGTTCTGTTGTTCCTGTTCTCAAGGGGTCTTCCCGTTACCTTATAGTAGCGGAAATACTGAAACAGAAAGAACAGGAGAGTCGTTTTGTCTACAGTTCAAACTATTTTTATTTGACTATTCCTTTTAAAAACGTAACTTAAGCCTACTTTATACCTCCTGAAATGAATAGTTATTTTTTCCTTGATGTAAAGGAGAGTGGGCTTTGTGACTTAGAAAGCAGAGCTCCAGAAGCCAAAGTTTTTGTTACAACTTAGTCGTTAATATTGTGGGGCAGTGAACTGCCAAAAATCATGGGTAAATCATCATAGATAAAACGCGGAGCTCGAAGACTCAGGAAGATAAAATATGTTTAACAGAATTAGTGACAGTAACTTGCTCCTGACAGGATTTATGCCAGATGAGGTATCACTTGAGCAAACCGCTGTAACTTTTTGTGGCAATCAGTTATCTCCTGCCTGGCATAAATGCTGATCTGACCGAAGTATGACTATATGCTCGTGTGATTGATCTGGATCAAATTTGTGCTCTTTGGTTCTCCTCAACACAGAACCACAGCAGTAGAGTATCACATTTTAAGTAAATGACATAAGATGATTTTGGGTATTTTCATGATCAAGAAAATAATTGCATTGGTTCCTGATGACACACTTTTAGCTTATTACTCATGAGTGGTACAAGAACAAATTTGTACTGCAACATGTACAGGTGGTAGTCATATTCTGGCACTTTGTGAGGGCTTATGCTATATGCAGAATGAGTTTCTTTGTCTCAGGAAAGATAAAGCACTGGAATTTTAGCAGATAAAATTTCAGAAAGCCAGCAGCAGATTGTATTATGTTGACCTTTTGAATTACTCTATGACTTGATTGGCTGGAAATCTGTTTTATACTCCTGGCAAACTGTCAAACTGAAGTCAAATGCCTGCCCAATACAAATATCAAATATGTAAAAGGTTAGGGTACTGCAGAAATCCACTACCTTTGACATAATGTATCAGACATTCAAATTTTGGTATTTCGTTCACAAGGAAAACTATAATGAGAAAACAGACTATAGAATGCCATTATAGAAAAGTGTAGCAATGAGTGATGAGAGGAAAAAGGTGAAGACATTTCTTACTCTGCCTGAAAATAACTGGGAGTATGTGCTCGAACTCTAAACTAAGAATGATGACAAAGTTTGGTAGTCAGATCATTAGTGTACTTAATTCCCAGTATTAACAAGACCCATTGGATATTCAGCATGTCTGAAAAATAAATTAGACACCTTAGCTGTGTAATTGTTGAGCACCAGTTAGAATTAAGGCTATCTTATGTGAACTCTACTAAATGATTTAAAAACACGTATTTGGTTAACATAATGCAATCCTCAGACTGCTTTCTAGATCCTGTTCTGTTGTCTTGCAGTCTTGAAATTTCAATTTATCAGATGTGGTATTTAAAGAACTTGTAGCATTCTTCCCTTAAGAATAGTTCAGATAAATTTTTCAGAATACACAATGCTATTTTGTAATCTGTGCAGTCTTCTCTCCTCACAAAAAGACTGGCTTGTAATTTTTGTTGTCATTAAAATTCCTTGGAAGTCTTTCTTTAATCACACAAATGTGACTGGGAATGATTGCCCTTCTCTCCGTCCCAAATTCAAAATAGTGAACCTTCAGACCTGAAATTAGATCTCAGTTGTACTGGATAAAAATTACAATAACCTGATTTATTACAGGCTTTCTTCCCTTCAACTGCAGTAAATGTCAGGCAATCAGTGAAAGCACAGAACTTTCTAGTTGTCTGCTACTAATTCCATTGGACCACCCCATTTATCACTGGAGCTTGAATGAATCTAAATTTCTCATATGACATGCACACTGATACAGAGAAAACAGGAATCTGTTTATAGTGACATTTCTCTAATGACTTAATAATTAATAGTTACTCCCTATTACAATTGAACTAAGCAGAGCAGAAGATGACCATCGTAAAGGAAGATTTATTATGCCCTTCCTTTTAATGTTGCTCTCGTATGAACCTTTCAAGCTGAGATCTTAGCAGTCCACACATTGCTGCTTAGTAATCTGCTTCCAGCAGGCTTCCAAAGTTATTGTTAAAATAAAATGTACCTGAAAATGCTTCGTTCTTCCGATCATCTTCAATTTGCCGAAACTTGGCCTTCAGCCCTTTCATTTGCGTTTCCATTTTTAAAACATACTGGAAATCTCTCTGAGTCCGTAGATTTAAAACTTCAATAGACTGAGACATGTTCTGAACCTGTTAAAGAAGAATACTCTCTAAATGCTCTTTTTGTTGCTTGGCTTTCTTTCCTGGTTATTGTAGGTATATGTCAGGCAACGAATGCTCTTCCGTCAGTGCAGCACTTGTGACTCATTTACTGTGCGGGACAGCAGCTGGACTGCTGATAACCTGGTATTGATTGAAGACATTGACCTTGACAAATTCCCAGTGTGCCCTTAAGATGGGAAGTTGTGTGTACTGAGCTTGGACAAGTTTGTGGAACTTTCTGCCTCAAGATCCAGAGGGATGAACCCAGCCAGAAGCTGCTAATTGTTAACCAATTAGAAAGTGAAAAACAAGTGTTTGACCTATAAGCAAAGGCCACACTACCTTCTTCTAGTACCTTTGACTATGTATAAAAGGCACACCCTTTGTGTAATAAAGTAACCATTTTTGAGCCATTTTAATGACCGTTCAGATGTGTCGTGTCCGTCTCTACAACGACAATTTACTCCACAGTGTAGTTTTAAATTCTGTAACTGCATGACAGCAGAGAAACGAGGGAGCAGGACTAACAGGAGACTATAAGGAGCAAGACCTTGAAGCCATAAATTATTTGGATTAGATTTTCTGAGGTAAAGAGAGAGCAGCATTATCAGTGGGCTCAAAAAAAAGGCTGTTAGGCAGCGGAGTCTCAGTTGTGGCAGATGCTGACTGTTGTTCAGGGTGTGCTGTACAGCAGGGGTTTCCTCCCCCAAGCACTTCAGCAGGGGCAGGAGTGAGATTTGGAGATTTTGGTTAGCATGAAACACATGATTTTTCTTGCTAGTAGGCATTTATATAAGCCACTGTAAGGAATTCATGAGACTATCCCAGAGACAAGCTAAAAGCTCCCATCATCAAGTAAGCAGACATCAAATTAGAAATTGTATCCAATTGTCTCATGGATAGAAAATCACATTTTTTTACAAATAATTAGTGAATATTCAGGTAGCTTGTAGAGCAAGTGACTGTAGTTACAGTGAATGCTTTTATCACGATGAGGCAAGAACAACTGTCAGCCAGAGGAAATTGTTTATGTATTTCAAAGTAGCTGTTATAAAAGCAATGATTTTGCCCATCAAAAATGACACATTTTGCAAGTCCAGTTATTCTATTTCAGTAAGTGTTTCATTTTCTCAAAATACAAAAAAAACTAGACCGCTGTAAATGTATTAGGGACCATACTGAAGTTTTGGCTTGAGAGAAAAAAAAAAAAAAGTCCTACCTTCATAATAAAACACAGACCAGGCAGTATTTCTGTTGTTTCACAAATACGCAATGTTGGAACTGATATTCATGTTTGAAACTAATATACTGTGACCTACAGAATGTGCGGATTTAGCAAACACCCTTAAAATGCTCTTAAAGATCGTATACATTAATTCTCACTCAGTTGCCACAAGTAGTTATTAGAAAGTATAACAAAAAAAGAACTGTTTCTTTTTATTTTGCTTTCTAATTGTTGAAAGCAGGCAAATAAAGTCCTTCAGGTCTTAGAAGAACTTCGAGCGTGTTTCCACTTGCAGAAGAGGCATTCACATAGGGCTCTGATTAAATGACCGTGCAGGGACTTAGTGGAGTAATAATACGACATCACATACCCGTAACTATTACAGTTCTAATCATAAGAAAACAGCTGATTATTTCAGTTCTTTTCTGCCTCAGCTCAAAAAGCGAGATCTTAACATGCCTCCAGTCCCTGCCCACAAGAAAGTAAGATCTTTTTTTTCTCTCCATGAATATTTTATTGTCTGTGAAATATGCTAGAGGAAAGACTCTGGGGACTGGAGCCTTCCTCTGTTAGGCAAACAGCCAGTGTGAGTGATTAGCACTGGAGTGATTTTTCTCTAGCTAGAAAAACACTGAAAATTGTATGCTAAAAAGTGTATTTTCAAGAGTACATTTTATGTTGCTTTCTGCCGTTGTTCAAGCCCTCGGTTCTGTACCACTAGCTTTTGATAAAATAACTATAACTTTGATTACTTGTACAGAGAATGCAGAAATATAGTTGGTGTTTTCATGGCTGTAGCATTGTTTTTCCTGTTGCTGATGCAAAATAACACTTCACTGCCTTTACTGTATTTGCAGCAGTAGACAATGCTGGAAATAAGAATTGGGCTGTTTGGGGAAAATTTGCACCACCAGAGAACGACCAAAATAGTATTATTTGAGGAAAGAACAAATGAAAGAAGATTGGAACCGTTTCTCTTCTGCACAGCCTGCTCTGCAGATGCTGTCATGTCTATATCTCATTATTTGTTGACAAAAGACAAGGGATGACCTTCAAGATCCATGCACAGTTGAAGCACAAGCTGTAGTTTAAATCCCACAGCAACTAGCTAGGTTGAGGTGGGCTTTGTAACTGGTTTTACACAGAAAAATCAGTCCTGTGTGCAAGGAAGAATTTCCAGAGGAATGAATAAGAGAGAAGATGCAATTTCACTTTGCTGGCTAAGGAAAAGGTGTGGTAGAAGGAAAACTAAGGATCGGTGGTGAGTCAGGGGATAGACCCTGAAGAAATATCTTAATTAGACAACGTTTCGCTACTCTTTTATGTACGAAACTCTGAGAGAAAGGAGTGGATTTCTGTGGGAAGTTTTAGTGATCAGGAGGGGGAACTTGCTGGGAAGACTTACCTTGTCCAGCAGCTGTCGGAGCTGCCTGCTTTTGGCATCTCTTGAACACAGGTTTTGTTCCGGTGCAACAACAGTGCAAATGCAGCGGCCATCAGGATCCTGGGCTGAGCTATAAACTTGCCACCCTTCCTTGGGGCTAATCTGAGTCTGTAACAACAAAATAACAAAGGAAACTGAGCTGCTTTTTTCGGTTGGTTGAAAAACCCCTACCTCAGAATATTTTTGTTTTTGCAGTGAATGTTTGCAACGAGGTTCCTCCTAGTAACACCTACTTGGCTCTCAACTAATTAGATCGATGCTTTCACACAGTTTTGTTGTATCTCCCACCTTTATAATAGTTCTCGCGAAGTGTTCACTACGCTTTCCCCCCTCCCCCCAAGGTGCATGATTCAGCACAAATGAGTTCATTTAAGTCTTTGCAAGGGGATGTAGCAGCTTTTCCATCAGCAGAGAAGAAACATGTCCTTTCAGCCTGAATGCCTTTTACTTTAGACTAACCAAGAGGGAAGAGAACAAATGTAAAAGCCCAGAAGGAGAGCCCAAGTGTGTCACCCAAGGTTGGGAGTTGGCTCAGAAGCACTTCAGGGTGTGCGCCAGCAGGATTGCTCTTAAAGATGCAGCACGCAGAAAACAAAAAAAAAACCAAAACCAAACCAAACCCCAACTCTTCTCCTGCACACACACCAAAGGGAAGAGAGGCTTGCTGCAGAGCAGCACAACACACTGAAAAGTGTCTCATCAGCTAAAACATTGCACGTCCTTCACTGGAAATTCCTACCTTGTTCTTTTTGACAGCAAGCATGAATGAAAAGTAAAAATATCCTGTTTTCCTGTAGAGCAGGCTAACGCTGGACTGCACTTAGGGTTTATGTGATACCTTGTGAGACTAGGTATCTGTCTATTTAATGAGATGCAAAAATACACAGCAAAGGAATGAGAGAAAGCGATATAATTAGATGATTGAAAAGATTCAGGTGGTGGAACTCAAACTCACGAAAGTAATTTTATTTTTTTTTTACTTTTTGCCTAAACTATGATTTACAGTTAATATTATGCACTATTCTTTCCCAATAATGTAGTATAGACTACTGAATTTCATAGTACAGATGCTAATGGATACCATTTAAGTAATTTTGGTCAGGACACAGAATCAATTACTAGTTATATGATAAAATTGCACTCTGTCAGCACGGAGGGCTGATTATTTAAACTGGCAAGTTTTATATTGATGCTTTACTGGCAGCCCAGTGCAGAATAAGTTGCGGAGTTCCTCATCTCAAAAGAAGTCCAATACCTCTCTAGGCTGAGGTTAGAAAAGAATGTAGAGTTTTCACGACTCTTCCGAAGAAGTTCTTGAGAGCAGTGACCTCTTCTGCTGCAGAGTTAACAGAAAAATCAAAATTGTATTGTTCCCATTTCGCAAGGAAAAACAAAGAGTCAGAACGTAGACGACTGTAAATAGGGGACAGCTGAGTTTGCCCTAGGGTTTGCTAGAAAAGCGTATCCAGAATTCAGTGTGAAATTATACTGCCTCTGTGGTTTTCTCTTTTAGGGCAAAGGCAACCTAGTTTAAGACAGGAAGAACAATAAAAGCTAAATAAAATCACATCTGTAGAGCCAATTTGAATTGGTTTTGAGGAGCAACTAAAAATGTGAGCTTGAACAAGTGAAGCCTATTAAGGCTGGTAACCTCCAGTAGTTTCCATGAGTCTCTGCAGAACTTCTGCTCAGACAGGGTTGTCACACAAGAGCGAGGAAACCAAATTTTTCTTGAAGTTCAGGAACCTAAAGCTTGTGATTATAATTCCTTAAGGACAGAACTACTTAATACAAGCTTGTGAAAAATTGTGGTACTTGAGCCTTACAGCTGCCACATTTAGACTGGTAGCAACTGGTATTACTGCTTTCAAGTAACTTTTCTACAGTGGAGAGCGTACGAGAAGCCAGCGTCATGCACAGTCTATAGCAGCCAGCCATATATAATCTAGGCTGTGTCATCAAAGGCACTTATATATTCTAGTGATGTTGTAAGTGTTGCTCTCAGATTTATCTAAAGGAAAAAACCCAAACACCAAATCCAAACTTTCTTAATTAACTTACCAGGTTTTCTTATAGCATTAACATATGGTTTGATTTCAAAAAGTAACTGTTATTTGGGAAAATATTTCTCACAGGGAGAGACTGTCAGGCCCAACACGAGTGCCTGGTTATTGGCTGCCCGTGCATAACAAAGCGCTCTCACAGTACTCCTGCAATTTAGGCTGCAGTTCTTCGTGGTGTTCTGTGGATCTCTGTATTTGTATACATATTGCCACAAGAGCCAGCAACACTTTCCATGAGCACAAGATACAATTAAGGAGAATAAAATAGAGCTTTTGCTTGTCTTCTTATTTTCTTGCTGCTCTAAATCACAACAAAATTCTTTCTTGCAACATCAATTAATTAATTTTAAAGCAGCAATATTTAAATGCAGTGATTTTCTGCAGCGATGTTTTTCCTGCATGTATATATTTGTTAATTAAAGGTTGATCAGTGAGTGGATCAGTTTTAGCCACAACTAAAAAACTTAACTTCTGAGCACAGTGAACTACTGCACAAATAGTTAAATTACATTTTATATAACACACTATTATGTAAACATCTGACTGCAGTTACACAAAAGGTACACAAGACTTTTACTAAATGCTTAGGAAAATTGTGTTCTGGTTTAATATATAAGTACCTGTATAGTGTTCCCTCTTGTCCCATTAAAATATTACTTTAATTTTTAGGTTTCTCACAAGTAGATGATCACAGCTTTTCTGCAAATCTTCATTAACAGAGGCTACTGTATATAAACATCAATGACACAAATGGATATTTGTGTCATTTGTATTATTCCCATATTAGCCTTTCTGAAATCTGCTACCCAGCCTCCTAGTGCCAATTTTATTTTGGTTCTATCAGCTATTTATTTGCTTAATTACACACCAATAAAGAGAAACAGGAAAGAATCAGTCCCCTTACATATTTTCATGAATAGCTAATACATAACATTATTCAGACAAAAAGAAACCTACTGCCAGATATTTTCTTTTCTTAATAACGCAATCCATTTTCTGGAACAGTAAACACAGGGGAAAAAAAAGTCTAGACAAACGAAATGACATTGCCGTACTATTTTTAGCATTTCACACTCAAGACGAAGGCATTTGTTCTTCAATATTTAAGGATGCTATTTTAGAATCATTCCTTTCACAGTCAGACCACAATATGCTCACTGACGTGCAGTTTTATGATGCCCAAAGAGAAGCATGCATGAAGCGATGACAGGAGGACTAGTAGCTTAAAAGATATTTACAAAGAGGCAACAAACTACAGCTTCTGCTGGCACTTAAATACTACTTCAGCATCAAGATGGCTTGCAACACATCACATCTACTTACTAGAGTATCTGAAGTGGTTATTCTGGGGGTATTTAGTCGTACCAGAGATGGAAGAGTTTGGGACACCCAGCTAGAGATCATTGTCATGGTGCTAAGAACGGCACCAACCTTCAGCAGTGGAGAACTCATCGCCATGGAGCTAATGAGTTTTCATAGTGACTGATTATCATCCCGGTGCAGGCTGGCAGTGAGGGGCGTGACTACCCAGATTTAATCATCCATTAAAAACACTCCTATCCTTATTTGCCCTCTCTCTTTCCGGACTCGCTAATGAATACAGGCGATTATCTTACAGCTAAATAAACACTCCTTTCCATGCTAATAATCCCTGCAGTTTAACTGGCATAGGTGAATTACCTTTCCATACGTGCTAGAGGGTCGATTAGCACTTAATTAGTTCGGTCCTTGCAGAGTGGTCTAAGTCCCTGTCCCAAATGTAACAGTCCAATGGCACACCCAAGCACAGGCAGCCCCCTCCCGACTCCACATCACTGCTTTGGTGGAAATACTGTGGAAATACTGTGGAAAAAATGTGCAGAGAAGCTGTGGCTGCCCCCTCCCTGGAGATGTTAAGGCCAGGATGGAGGAGACCTTGAGCAACCTGGGCTGGTGGAGAGGTGTCCCTACCCATGGCAGGGGGTTGGAGTAGATCATCTCTCCAAGTTCCCTTCCAATCTAGGCCATTCTAGCATTCTACAGTTCTATGAAATATGCCCAGGCCTATCTCTAAATAAGACACTGTACTTGTCCAAGCAGCTGAGGAGGGGGGAGAACTGCCAACCTGCCCTTGAGACCACCACAAACCTTCCTGAACCTTCCCTGCTTTGTTAATCTCACAGAAAATACAAGCCTCAGTGACTTTATGATTTATGCAGCTTATTATTAAGGCATTTGTTGCTCATAAAAGAACACTGACGTAGTCAAGTTTCACATTTCTCAGTGTTCTTGGTAGTTTACAACTTTTTATACTGAGAGTTACTGCATTGCATCCAGGGCTGGCAGATTCAGACTGTCTTCACTGACGTTTGGACGCGAACAGGAAACAAACTGTGGGTTGCTCATGTAGCATTTTGAGGCTTCTTTTGGCTCTTAATCAGCTGTTGTATTTACTGTTCTCTAGTGCTGTAGAATGATCTCCAGCTTCAGTAAGCAGTTTATCTTTTCATAAATTTAACAAGTGTAGGGGAAAAAACAAAAAAAAACAGGAAAAAGAGTGTAAAAATTACAAGGTTGTTGGGGTAGTTTTACTTCTTAAGAATTATTTTAAAAAGAAATGCTCAGCAAGGATTTCTAACAACAGTTATTTTGCTCAAAATTTGCAGAGGGATAGACTACTGTATTTTTCCCAGAGGCAATTACAGATTTTGTTTCTGAATTTGCTTCCAAGGTACTATTTTTTTTAAGGAATTCTGGCCATTTGTATAAATAAAACCTGTAGTGAAACAGAAGGGATGTATTTTTGGAGGAGTGTGTGATCATGAATGCATTTATTAAAGTCACTAAAACTTTTCAGATTCTCAGAGGTCATACATCAAATTCAGGCTAGGCTTTTCTCTTCCAACGTTCACTCAGAATTATTCCAATAAATCTCTGCAGTTTAACAGAAAATTATTTTTTTTAAAGAATTGAAAACCACATTGAGAACTACTATATAATCTTATAAAGAGTCTTCCACCAACAGAATACAGATAGAAATTCTGGATACCCAAGTATTAGATGTTTTCTGAGAGTTTCGCAGTAAGATGAGCTGTGAAATATTTCAAATACTCAACCTTATTCACTAACGAGATGCATCTGAAAACTGAAAGAATATATTTGCTTATATACAGCTTCTGCAAGAAAAATAAGCTATTTGCTCGTTTCTCTGTATAAGAAAACAATAATCAATTAAATACTAAGTATGCTGCAGTTTGATTTACCTGTAGCACGTTGAATGCACACACTTGTTTGCATGCATTTTGACTTATTTTTCACATTTTGTCTTAACTGATACCAAAACTGCTGGGACAAAATAACACACACGGGCCATTTTCTCCAGAGAACTCGGACTGAACTGAGAGCTGATGACACTGATGGTCTGAACAAGAAAACAATATTTTTTTTTGCTCAGTTCCAAAAAAAAGTATCGCAGCCAAACAATGCTGCACTGGATCAGTCTCTTTGATCTATTTAGCTCCTTTCTCTAGCCATGCTCAGCACTGGATGCTTATAAGAGGAGTGTAAGAATGGAGCAATGTACAGTAACACTTTTCTTGGTGCAACCTTCCAACAAACTGTGGTACTCACTGGGCCAGAGGTTGTAACTTTCTGTTTCTGTAACTTTCATAACGCTTCCTTCCATTAATTTCTTAAGCAACTTCTAAATTCATCTGTACTTTTAGGAGGCACAGCACTCACTGGCATGGTGTTTCACGGTTTAATTACATCTTGTGGGAAAAATACACTTCCAAGAAGTCATGATTAGATTGTAAATTTGAGAAGTACCCTGCTCAGTCAAAATCTGCAATTTTAAAATTTTTTTTGGACATTATAACCTTCATCTGCTTCCAACAACCAGAACTGCACTCAGCTACTTAATAGAAGAACAACCTTCATCAATGCATTTGGATACTGCAAATATGACAATCAGGCCCATGAAGCAACTCAATTGTGTTAAATATTATACTGTTGATATGTTTTGAGAGCCACTGGTGACTCTACTTTCTGCTGGTAGTTGCAGAGAGTGATGAGCTCCCCCTGAGTCTCCCCTTCTCCAGCTGAACCCCCCCAGCTCCCCCAGCCCC